TTTAGATGTACCAATATGGAGTGATTATTAATTTCACTGTAATAATAAAACGAATCGAAATGGTGGTTTAATAGAAAAAATTGCTTCCAAGAAGAATATCCGAGAGAAAACAGCAATTACTTAAGAATTTGGCCGCTATGGCTGAATAGTTAAGATGTTCAACACATATCCACAAGATAGTGTGTTCGAACCGCGATGCCATCAGACATAGAATAACCTTGGACAGGTTACTAACGGCTGTTTTGTCTTGGATCACCCACCCGATAGCACGTTGACTACGTGTGACATATACAAAAAGCCCTTGTGGCTAGTATGCTGTTAGTTAGCATGCATGGAAAGCTTAAGTAATTAAGCGGAAGGGACTCTGAATCAGGCTGGCCTTCCGTCCAGAGCTGCAGCTAGTAATAGTTGTAGAAAAATATCTGGCCTTCGAAATTGTCCTTAGACGGCATCCTATACTGGAAGGTATTCGAAAGGCAAAGATATTCTTCTTCTTCTTCGTTTTCTTCTACTTAAAATAATTTAAGTCTTGTAAAGACTATCGAAATTTGGCGAAGTCTTTAAGTGATAGGTTTTGTGAAATATGATCTAAGCGAATTGTTAAAATATAGGGTGAACGTTGAGACGCATCACACTCTCCTTGCTCCATAGATATAACAGACATGTTATAAATGCCTGATCACAAGCGTGAAAGAGTGTGGGTGCTAAGATCTTTTATTTAAGTAGCACCAGGACCTCACATCTCCTTAATGATATGTAGTTAGACTCATTGTTGTACGATGAATTTAAATGAAATCGTTTTAGAAGATGATGAACAATGGATTACTGAAATCTTAAATTTTTTTGGATGCGGATATGAATATGGATCTGGGTTTGTGTCTGGGTCTTCTGTTCATCTAACCCCACAGACCCTATACCCACTCTACACCCACACCTTGAGTGAATAGAGCATTGTTTCCTCTGTCGATTTTATATAAATCTGTATTAGATCTACACATCGTTCTACAAATCAATTTCTGAAAAAAATATTATAGAGCTCTTTCGTAAGTGTCATTGTGGATCAAATGTTAACAGAGAAATTCAGCTTTCTGCCATAATTTTGATCAATTTCGTTTAATATTTATGACACCTTCAAATTTGATTCTCTTCATCTGAAGATATTTTCATTAGTAATGCATTTAGTCGAACTGAAATATTTGTGCAAACGTTTTGTTGCAGCGCTTGTCGGATATTGCCAAATTTTTTTACGATGTACAGAAGAAATAAAATGAAAACGATCTAGTTCGATAGAGTAATCGAGGCTCTATTCAACTGTATCAAAATATAAAATATCCGAAGTTTTATTTAAATACAGTAAGGTGCACAAAACTATTAAAAATAGCATAATCAAACTATGTGTGACAACGAGCAAAATGTATTTTTTTAGTCGCTACTTAATTTTGTTTTAATTATATTCTAAAAATAAATCGGTAATTTCAGGAACGAAAAACATCAAAATAATGATTATGACTTCTATCATCTTTTTTTCAAGTATCATAACAGTTGCTTTACAAATGTTGGAGAGGAGATATGGCCTCATCACGGGCAGAAAATGCCAGTACGACAAGTAAAGTCTACTTTTTTTTGCTTTTCTGTTTATTGATGAACTTGATAGTACCATCATAAATAGAGCAGCATACAAGCGGTATTTTTGTAAAAATATTCTTTGAAAAAAAGTCTCAAGAGTTCTTATGACGAACGTTTTAAAATTTCGTTTGCGTAGTCATCATTAACATTTAAAGAAATGTTATGTTAGATGATTGTAACTTTGCGCGAAAGGAACATAGAACGTTTTATCGTATATTTAGCAGATTTAATACAAATGAACGCCCCTTGGATTGCTCTACTTGATGCTAAAAATTCAAGTTGGATAGATACGAATAATGCAGAGTTATTCCAATACCAGTGATTTGTATTTTGAAAAAATCGACTATACATATCAGGTATGCACCGGTCAATTTTTATTGTATTCTTGTTTTTATGATATATGGTACATCTAAGAAACTTGCGCAATTAATTTTTCGGTAAGAAGTGATCTCTTGTACTATTAATGTGATTTTTGCAAATGCTCATCAAAAATTTGGGATATGGCGGAGAGTCAAGCCAGTAAGGGTATAGAAATCTACGTTGGAGACCGGCGTATTAGTATCGACGGATGCATTGAGCCTTATATTGTCTAAGTAATAGTAGAAACCGGTCATCACCGTAGGTTTTCGTGGTTCCAAATTGATAGTATTGATCTTAACACCGATAGTCGAAGCTATATTCCTCAGCAGACGACGCTATGACAAATGAAATCTTTCTTTTGTACTAGATTACAGTGATTCGGCTAACAAAAGGGCCTGTTGAACCATGAAAACCTATGATAATGACCGGTATAACAGCATTAGTGATAGATGCAAGTATGCAGACGTCTGAATAATGGCCGAACCCGGCCATCTCAGTAAGTTCTTCATATTCTAACCGGCCATATTTGCCTTAACCCTGATGATTCAAAACGTATTCTAGATTTCAGAGTGTGAAAGGATACGAGACACTCGCGCACGAATGTAATGATCAGCCTAATGATATTGCCGGTGGGAAAATGAAAACCTACGATGATGGCTGTTAGACGGATGTCACCAGTTATCTTGAGCCTCAACTAGTCCATAGAAAGCTATGAACCGGCTATCACCCTAGGTTCCCGCTCTCCTAAATACCATTATTAGCGATCATGGTGACGGTCAAAACTAAATAACTGACTGCACGACGACACGGCAAATGAAAATTGTTCTCACAGATGAGCGTGACTCCGAAGCTAGTTATAGGATCAATAAGATCATGAAAATCTACGATGATGATGACTAGATGGACATTACTGGTTGCCCTGAGCCTCAATAAGTCGTTAGAATGCTACACACCGGCCATCACCGTACGTTTCTGACGTCGCAACCGGTATTATTCGCCTTAGGGGTGTTTGTTGATATCGCATTCCTATGTTATTTTCATAAGCATCTTTTATATTCAGATAGCTTTACGCTAGCAAGTTTCAGTCATATGAACATACTGATGTTGGATGTCGTATGCCTATAGTCATTAGCGTATTTGTGTAGTGTTTACTATATGGAAACAGCTTATGACGTTTGTGAAATACGATCATATGTCATAACAGCGAGATGGGTAGCGACTGAGCATGCACTTCTCGATTACGACATGAGCAGCTTCACTTTTGATAGAAATGAGATCAACATGAGTAGCTTTTATTGGAATACGTTATGGCTGGTGCTTACGGTGGACCGGTGGCCACGGTCACCGTTGCATCCCTAACGCATATCTTGAAATATTAATTGTCACTATGAGCGAGTTTTTAAAATATTTTTAATCAGAAGTCTTTAGAATTTTTTCTAAATAATGTTTTCAGAAAAACGTCGCTTTCATTCTGCTCTATTTAAGATGATATTAGCAAGTTCATCTGAGAGCATAAAAGCAAAAAAATTAGATTTTATTTATCGTTAGAATATTTTTGGCCAAGAGAAATGCCGTTTGTGCTTGTAATGATACTGTATCTCCAACATTTATAAGTTAACTGTTTTGGTATTTCGTTAAAAGATGATAAAAGTCATGATAATTATTTTGACATAATCCGTTTCTGAAAATACTAATTTATTTTTAAAATATAATTAAAACAAAATCTTACGAATAATTTTCGCCGCATATGTATCGTACCTTTAATAGAATATAAAGATAGAACATGAAACTTGGGTGTACGTGTGGGTTCATCTCGTTTTAAATCGACACCCACACACCCTATAATCTTCCGTTCAGGTTTTGATCTCCCCCACTTCTAGTGGTAAAAAATACATCGTTTCATGTCTCTCAATGAAAACAAATCGTTTTTACTACACATGGGAGCGTATAATTTCTTTGTTGAAACCGATAATAATACTTCCGAACAATTCTTTCAAATTTTTTCGTCATAGATATGAACACCCCTATATTACTAGTGAAAAATGAACCCATTTTTTCACAGAATGGCGGAGACCCATTCAGATGTTTTTTTTTATGATAAAGTGACTCTTGGATCACCCTATATTTTTGGAAGGTTTAATTAGAGAGGAAAGGTTTTCGTTTATTATATGCAGGGGTGTCACGGTCGGGGAGAGGGAGACGACGGAGGCGCTACGCCCCCCCCCCCCGCAATCTTCGAAAATTTCATTTTTTTGGTTCGACGATTTGTGACATTTTTAAAAAATTTTGAAAAATGTTCGACAAGTTTTTATAAATTTCAACAATTTTCACAAAATGTTTCAGAAACTTGCGAAAAATTTGTCGCTTGCTCCTCTAGTTCTCCCCCCCCCCTCCCATTTTTCCTCTTCGCGACACCCCGGATTATATGTACTCTCGAATTAAATAAAGAAGTGAAGTTTAATTGATATATTGATGACTTATTCGTTAAAAATATCTTTCAAAAATATTTATTTACTTTAAATATTAGAATTAAAATACAACATAATAAATCAATCTTTCTATGAGAATGTTTTTTTTTCATAAGTACAACAATGAGAAAAAATGAAACAACAGTTTAATTTAACCTCCTATAATTTATTTATCACAACGACAAATAATAAATAACATGCATCAAAAACAAATAGAATTATAAATTTATGAGATTAAATATTTTGTTGAAGATGATCTTCATTGATGTTTATTGACTACTATCTAATTTAAACTTGTATTATTTTCAAAAAAAAAAAGGTATAGATTTGTTTTCGCTTTCAATTTTTATACTTTTCTGCCTTGGGAAACAAAATTATCCGACAAAGAAACGAAAAAAATTATTCCTATTGTTTAATAAGATCTTGTTCTTCTAATCGTTTGATCATTTACGTGAAATTGTAATGCCTCTAATTGAACTCGAGAAACTCGTACTCGATGTAAAACAGTGGATTAGTAACGATCAAAAATTCATAGAAGGCAATCAAATGAAAATATTATTTTCTAAATTCATACCTCGACTTCGTCATTTTCATTGTTTCATTAAGACACTTCATGATATCAATATCCAGGTAAATTGTTTATTCATGTCTACGATATGCTCATCATCATTTTTCTTTTAGACTTTTGCGATACTAAGCAAACGTTGGTCTTTAACGTGTAAATCGAAATTGAATGGTTTCTATAGCTACTTGTACACGATTCCATGGTCATTTGAACAACTTGACATATCAACGTTAGCTGATGATGATACGATTAGTATTTGTCCAAATCTTCGATATTTAACTGTTGATGTGCCATGTACAAATTTATCACGACGTTTTCCAAATATTCACATGCTCAATGTTCTAACAGAATGCAATGTTTCTCCTGACAATTATATGGAATTTCGTCGACTTCGTCATTTGAAAACAGTCAAAGTCAAAATAGTTTCGTTACTTTCAACCAAACGTGTTCAGATACTGACATTATGTGACAAATCCGAATTATTGAAAAGTTCAACCATTTATTCCAATGTATTACATTTGATCTTAGAAAATGATAAGATTACGTCATTGAATACTGTCATTGAGCTTGTGCGACGTTTTTCTAATCTTCATTCACTCAAAATTGAGCTTCCAAAAAATGCTGAATATTATGATTGTCTCGACATTCTACTCGATGGTGAACATTTGTGGTATCTATGGCTTTTCAAAACAAATTGGATTAGTGAATTCAAGTTCTGTTCAGATGTGTCAATATGGATATCTGTCAAGACACCTTTGAAATGGAAATGGACTCCATTCTATGGAAATTGTGATTGTGATGAATTAACTATTTGCTTATAAATATGATTTTGTATAAAAATTTTCTATGTAGATTAAATTAGAACTGATTGTTTTTACTGTTCTTGTACCATATGGATTCTGTAATTTGTTCATTGATTGATTTATATATAAGAACTAGACCTGTACCGAAACTGATGCGTCGATGGTAAAGGTGACCTTTTTTCTCTTACAATAACCCTTGAAACACATTCACCTAGAAAAAATAATAATTACGAAAATTGGGTGTAGGCATGCCTCTTCGTTTCACAAACATCGACACCTCACACCCACATCATCTGATGAATCGATAAAGACGGAATCATACTAAGTATCTATCACTAGACCAAGAGCAAATTAAATATCGATTCCTGAATCTGTTCTGATATTGACATAAACTTCAGCAATTGATATTATCGTCACATTAGTAAGTTCATTTTTTAAAACAAAATATACATTTCATCTTTCTCAGAGATTAGAATTGATTACTCTGGCAGCAATCACAGTTAAATTGACATCAAGAGATGTAGCTTGAAAATAATATTTATCAATGAGAGCTCCATGTAAGTTAATTTTTGATTAACAAAACTGTCCCGGTACTGATAGGATCACATGTTTCAGCCACTGTTATCAAATGATTCTGAACGATCGTGTAGCTTAAATTTATATATCGACTGACATTTGATTTAGAGTTTTATTAGCATCTTGTTCTTCGAGGAAACATATCCAAACAATATCGCAGTATGTGAATGTTTGCTTTGCGTCTATTAATCGTAGAGCTACTATTCTGAACGAAGAATTTTAATCAGTACTCTTATTATGAAGACTGTTCATTGGCAAGTTCTTCTCATAAAAGATTCGTCTAGAAAAGTGTGACTGTCGATTAATGGAAAACCAACACCCACACCCCCATCCATGAGTTATTTGAGTCGTTGCATAAAGAATAATTATACCGTATCCTAGTTGTCTCATCAGTCTTCATCAGTAGTTTCAATGGTCTTGTACCTATGAAATTGATGAGCATCAAATAGTTGATGTGAAATTCTTGAAATGTTATGATGCATTATCTCTTTCCATCTATAATATTGTCACTGATATACATGTATGACAGAGTGCAATATCGCATTCGCAGAAGTTGGTTTTTTTTTGGATGGATTACTAAAACTTCTAAGTAAATTTTTCCATTGAATATGCGATGCCTCATTGCTGATTACGTTCGTTCATCAGCTAATTAGCGGACTCATACAAAAATCGATTGGCATAGTTATTGAGACTTTTTTGTAGGTCTCATAAGGTCTTGTTGATAATATAAAGAATTCAGACAACTGAAATACTGACCACTGAGTGGCTAACATTAATTATGATAAAGATTCAAGTATTTTTTTGCAAATTGGGTGTGGGTGTGTCAAAAGAAGAATAACACCTACACACACCCACATCCTTTTTTCTTTCTGACTTGAATACGAAGAATAAATTATCAGCATGTTGGGTCCTTTCTTTGCTAATTCTGGGAATAACGACGCGGAGATGTTAAAGAATTGTATGCTCAATAATGAGCAACAAGTTTTGGCCTAGTTGCACGAAAACGATATCATTGTATTAGATCGTGGAGTAAGTTTCAACAATAAAAGGTTACAAGTTCATGTTTTTCTACATAGTTCTACAATGCTGTTAATACTTTCATTCATCTACGTCTCCAAGTTCCTATGCCAAGATTTTTACATCGTGAGAAAGCTATCGAAGCAAACCGAAGCCGCTTTGTAACTAAAATCCGATGTGTTATTGAAAGCACTATGTTAAACAATTTCACATAAAACATGCACGATAAAAAATGAAAGGTATTTTTCACTGCAATTGAACTCTCTACAAGATATTCGTCTAGGACACGATAAAAATCCACGGCAAGACGAAAAAACCTTTTCTATAATAAAACTGAGAGAATTGAAGAAGAATATCGATGTTATCGATTAAATCATATTGATGTTATTGCTATTCGTCTATACACAAAAATTATGTCTTATGTTATCAATGAAGCATTACGCAATTACTCATTTTATGGCATGACAATATCAATTGCCTTTCTTCCGTACATCTATACTCTTATAAATGCTTTGGACAAACTCAATAGGGACAGACAAATCAATGAGATTCGTTCAATGAAAATATTCTTCTGATTGTTTTATTTTAATTGTCTTTGGATTATGGTTTCGAATTGGAACCTTGGGAAGTAGTTCATTATATTCCTTTGTTGGATTCGGTACAAAAGGACCAAATTCAACCAATACTTGATGCTCATCAGCCTGGCGCCTATGTCATCTATCCAGCCTTCACATCGAGTTCAGTGCATGATCTAGCTAAATAACTTTGATCAAGTAAGTCAGATTATCAGATAGAGGTTTTATTGATTTGTATTTGATTTAAATGAATTTGAAATCAACAAACAGAATTCGTATTTAGATCCCGAATAGTTTGTCTGTTCGTTTACAACAAAGAATGGAAAACCAATCTCTATCTCAATTCATTCCAAAATAAGGATTAGATGTCTGCGGAGGATATTTTCGGAAACTCGATTAAATCTTAGAATATGAGATATAGAAAATCTAGGAGATAGAGCTAAAATTGGTACTTGTATTGTACTTGATGTGGGTTCGCAATAGCATCTCTGTGTCTTCTATGAACATTAAAGCTACTAGACTCATTTTGTTCGTTATTTTCGGCTGTACAAAATAATATACACTGATTCTTTCAATATACTGACAGTTAAGAGAAAAATCTCAAATACTGCTAAAAATTATAAGTATCAACAATTTCAAGTACTTACTGTAGTTGAAAACAGTTTTCTAGTGAATGAATGCCATGTTAAAAACTGGTTACATGAATTTCGGCCCGGATTTTCGACCCGGTCCGAAATTCCGGTGAATTTTCGGGCCGGGCCGAAAGTCCTAGAAGAATTTCGGCCCATCCTTAGAATGACCTCATTGTCCCCTAAAAAAAATTTAATTTTTTTAATTAATTGCTAGATATCGTAGTACTGAGCAGGACGACGTGTTGCTGAGCAGAACGGCGTAGTGCTGAGCGGGACGACTTAGTGCTGAGCAGGACGATATGGGTGTGGGCATAGCTGTGGACGCCGGTCAACGCAAAAAAGATACGAACATACCACATACTCCTGCACCCACCCTAGCACCCCACAAGCTTACACTTACACCCACACCCATGGTATTCTGCTCAACCCTGCGCCATGCCGTCCTGATCAGCACCACGTCATCCTACTCAGCACTATGTCATTCTACTCAGTACGGCGTCCGGCTCAACAAAACGCCGTCGCCCTCAGCACCACGCCATCCTGCTCAGCACCACGTTGTCCTGCTCAGCGCCACGTCGTCCTGCTGAGTACTACGATATCTAGCAATTAATTAAAAAAAATTAAATTTTCTTTAGGGGCCAATGAGGTGATTCTAAGGATGGGCCGAAAGTCCGGGCCGAAAATTCCGTGGGCCGAAATTCTGGTCTCCCTTAAAAACATGCATACGGGCAGTTTTGTAGCCCTCGGTGAGATAAATACAATGAGTCTAATGGGTAAGAACTCATCTCCAATGGCATAATAATTATAATGGAAATACTTGAATTTTATCATAAGTACTCGTCCGAGCTCTGTTAGGAGATATAACAATATATGCATCCCTATATCTCTTACAAACGAGTTATAGTTATCTCCAAATGTAAAATTGTATAAAAAATCATTCAATACATATTCGATATATTTGAAAAATTCTCATTAAATTATAGATTTTTTACTTGTATATCATATTTCTGTTCAATTAATTATTCCTCGCAGTATTGACAATATCAAAACTTGTTCAGATAAAGAAAATGTGATCACGATCAGTATATTAAATATTCAAATATCCATAATAAAGATTGGTCTGGTCAATATTGTACATATTCGTCTGATTTATTATGTTTTCGAATTTTATCATTCAATCGTCCTCAATCTGTTTTTTTTTGTGTTTGTCCATTTGGAAAATTTGATTATCGATATTTCCTAAACAATACAGTATGCCAATTTAATTGTTAAAATGATGTTCTATGTACATTAAATGATGAAGACTATTTATGGAAGAGAATATTTCAATTTGTATGTAAAAAAAGGTGTTTAATGAGAATAAGTTATACAAGAATTATTTTACCATTTGACAAATATATATAATTTAACCAGAATCAATGTTTATTCATCTTATTAAAATAATTGATAATCATTCACATTCAAGTGTGCAACAACATAAAAAACAAATCTTATTAATATAAAATTAGTTATTACTTTCTGGTTACATTCATTTCATATAAGAAGATTTAAGAGTAGACGTACATAGAATGAATCGACTGACCTGCTAAACACTTGTCACTGGTGAATATTATTTATTTCGTCTGAATTTCAAAGACAAGTGAATGGAAAAAAGAGAAAGATAAAAGTTGGACTAAACACGTCAGATACATAGACCGACTGTGATGTATGCATGAGTGCGAATATAAATAGAATAGACACAATTCGTTTCAATAATTTATCATTTCATTATTTTTCCAATAATCTTAATGGAGAAAAGCAAAATTCAAGAATATGATCATTCTTCATTAGAAAAATGCAAATATCAATGTCGACAACGTATGTAAAATTTTTTCTCGATAAAATGATAATTGTTCTCTAAAAATTTAAGTCATAAAACTATTGATTATAAATGTTTACGAAAATATGACTAAACTAATGAACATTACTCTATGGAAACTGTCACAATTAATGAAAAAGAAATTTATTGGTTAGAATTGTTTATATCGATATAGAACATATAAAGTTAAACTTTAATATCGTATATTAACTAAAAAATGAAAAAACAATCAATGATAAATATCATTCAGAAGAAGAAAATAAACAATTAAATGCATTGATAGATGAGATTAATCAAGTTTGATTGGTCGATATGGGTTTTACACTAGATGAACGAATTGAATATATTTTAGAAAATTTCTAATAGACGAATTATCTTTGTCTTAAATGAGATTTCTACACTGAACTACGTATCAATGATAAAAATGAAATTTCCTTATTCTTCATTGAAATAAATAAAAATCCAATGAGTAAATATTTCGTTAGAAAGATTGGTTTAATAATTTCAATATGAAATTATTTATTTTTGTAAAATTCGATTTTCTCGTTTTAGAATTCAATCAATTGAAAGAAACAAAAGAAAATGTATCAAACTGTTCATCATTTTTTGAAAATACGACTGAACTTGAATGTACAAACAATGAATTAACTGAATTTTTGTTAACTGATGAATATACATCATCAATCAATATAGATAATACAGAAAATGACGAAGAAGAAGAAGAAAAATCGATTCGTTCTGATAAAGATGTGCTTGATAATGGTTTTTATTTATTTAAATCATCATCAATTCTATCATGTCGTATTCATCAAACTTGTGAATGTAGTACACAAACTTCTATACGATATGTTTCGTAAGTTAATAATTATTCGTTTTTTAATATTGATCTTATTTTTAAAAGACTTGATCCACCATTAACAACAGCTGTTCGTCGACGACGACGTGTCATTAAATCAATTTATATACATGTTCAACAAAAGTAAACATTTTTAAATAAAATAATCATTTCAATTAATTTCTTATCATAGAAAAAATATATTTAAAAAACTTGTTGATCTATTATTTTGGACAAAACCATCAATGATCTATGAATTATGTTTACAATTTTTATATGTGTATGATGAAATATTTAATTATAGAGAAGGACATACTGTAAGTAGTTATTGATAGATTATTTTTAATTTACTTCTAATATTTAGTTTGTCATGTTTTTTCGAAAGAAGATTTGGTATTTAACTATTGAAAAGATTAAATGTAAGTTAATATTAAAAAGAATAATATATTATCTAAACAAATATTTATCTATATAGATGTTGAATGTCAATTGGGTGAACATGGACCAGAATTGACATTCATATTTAAGTACAAAAATCAATTAACTTTTGTTCATGTTTAATTAAATATTTATAATAAATGAAGAAAAAAAAAGTTGTTTGTAAATGAAATTCAATGTCTTTTGTTCTTTTTTGTTGACTTATTCAATTTAATTTCCTTTTTTTTTTTGTAATTATTAAATAATAAATTGGCTTTACTTTTCAATAAATCAATCATTTTTAAGTAAAGATACGTCTTTTTAGGAGAGAATTGATCTCATAAATACATGTTATAGCGTATATGGATGTGGGTGTAGAATTCTATTCATCGACAACAACACCCACACCCTTAGCAGAGTTTTCCAACAGGAAGAAAGACTCATTCCAATCTTGCGAAATTCGCATTTTTGACAAGCAAATGTTCAGTATTTTATTCCGATTTTGTTTCTCATTAAGCCTGAACATATCATTAGAATCCAAGAAATACGGTCGAATCTAAAAAAAAGTCTTCCAAGGGATCTTCTGACTCGTCGATCTCGCACTCCCTTTTCCTATACGTTATTGTACACGTCAAGATTAGGATCGCACTTTCACTTCAAAGTTGAGACAGATTTTCTCCCAAGATCTTTTTTTGCCAAAATATGGTATTGGTTCCATTGAGAAATTTCTTTTTTCGAAAAAAAAAATTTTTAAATTTAATTTAACTTTTTGAAAGTTAAAATGTTCCCTAATCGAAACACTTATGTTACATATCTACATAAGGCCAAATAGAAAATCTACAACTTTTATTATTTAATAGCATGCGATGAACAATTACTTTATCTAATACTTCATTCACGAGGTAAAAGAAACATAAAACAGAAACGAACAGCAGTTTACTTTAAATACGGAAGATATATTTTGTATACGCAGAGCGATGCCTGTGAGGGAGAGCAGTGTCTAAAGTAAACTTGTACCCAACATATCTAATACATCACTATTCATTACAACATTTAGAATTTAGGAGCTTGCATACGATGAAAATCTAAGTGTAAATTACTCTTAGCAACTGTCTGAATGGTACTTTGTTTTAATGAGAAAACTGTAAATTGTACTATCAGAAAAATGTCGCAAGGATCTTGGATACTTTGTCATCATAATGGGTCCTAGGTATTTAAAAAAACTGCTTATAAAATAACCAGTTCAGAGTACAAATGAATTCTTTTTAAAGCTATTCATAGACAAGGAAATAATTATGATTCATGCACAACTCAAGTCGATCGAGTTTATGTTTTTCATTCGGAATGCTTGGACTTAATTGTTTGGTTATCTAGAAACAAATCCTTGAATAGTTTGTGACGACATCAAATGCGGTAGTGAAGTTTGAAAAATTTGTTTGTTTTTCATAATTGGTACCCTGTCGGTAGCGAATTATTGGTTTTTCTTTGTTTAAAAAGTACCCGGTTTTTAAAAAACTATTCTCTCTATAATGAGTTCGTTTTCACCAGATCTTATTAACTCTTCAACAAAAACTGTACTTTCATCGCCAGTTACTTTGTCTTCTACTATTGCTATTCCATCAATTGAAATAAAAGCAAATAATCATCCTACTTTAAATCAAGGAAACGTCTTTCGAATATACTAAAATAAAAGTGTTGTTTTTTTTGGAGACGATTCTATATGATCAATTTCTTGTGACCTCTCCAAATTGCTACACAATGGAAAAATTTTACATAATTTGGAATTAAAAAAACATTACAGCTATCATGCGCCGTATGTAAGTAAGTAGGAATGAAATTTAAAACGAAACGATGGTCTCTATTTCAATTGACATATTCTACACACTATGTTCGATTTTTTAATCACATATGTGAGGAATATTAAATTGGGAGATGCTGTCAAATTTTCATAAAATACTTTTATTAATAGATGAAACTATAATCGAGTTACATAAAAAATGTCCTTGGGCTGATCGTATAGATTGTCGTCGGTTTAATTGTAAGGTATCATCAACGGTGTTGTTTTTTATTCATGTGGGTAGCATCGTTCGTGAGACATATCTCATAAATATCGACTGGTTAAAACAAATTACACAAAATACTCATATTGATTTAGTGATGTCATCTGATTGTCGAGAAATTTGCGAATATGTTTAGCACTATTTGAATTTGAAATATAATATAATTTCTCTTTTTAAATAGTCGTGAGTTAGAGCGTAAAAATGAACGATTTGATAGTAAATTAGAATTATTTAAATCGAAATTACCTATTATTTGTTCATCATTGAAATCAGCTTTTCCTCAATCGATTATACTATGGTTCCCGCCGCTTGCTTTAAAAAATTTAAATAATGAACAAATATTCGAGCAGAGAAGTTCATCAATGTTTCATTTGTTATTGCATGTGGTGAATTTAATTTCTAACGTTTAAAACATCATGAGAATTGGTTTAAATTTTATGAAGAATTATATGAAAAAGATCAGTCATATCTTTCAGGAGAAGGTAAGTAACAGAACTCATGAATATTCAAAAGAAACGTAAATTAATATTTTTTTAAATATTAGGTGTTCGTGATATTAATAGACGAATAAGTGAAGTAGTAGAAAACTTATGGAATCGTGATTCTCAAGTTAAATCTCCAAACAAATGCTTGAAAATCGAACATAATGAAAACTAGACTATTTAATTATTTTTCTTTTTTCATTTTCATTATTTGAAATAAACTCATTCGTTAGTCAAATAGATAGGTCATACATATGAATCATTTTTTACTTCATATATACCAAACGAAAATAAGTATTATATGGGGGGATGAGAGATTATTCTATAGATAAATCAAAATGGTTAAAATGAAATTGGTTATGAATTTTTTTTATCGAGAACTGAGCATATGAGATATGAAACGAAACTTCGATGAATAATGTATTCTTTGATTGGATAAATCTAATAAGTAATACAATTTAATCATATAATGTCCGCCGATGATTATTCTTATATTGATTAATAAATATAAAAAAAAGGTTCAATATGAGAAATAAAAATGACTTTAGTAATCTGTCGAGATAATGAAATACATCGCTTTAGTAAAAAGCTCACTAAAATATAATCTTAGAAGATATTATATAATTTCTGAGTAGATTCTCGAAGTAAAATAAATCTTAATAAAATTATTAGAAAATTCTTTAAGTTATTATGATTTGAGAAAATAATATTTTTGACAGTTAACTTGTTGTACATTTTTTAAAATACTAAATCCATTCTCGTCAATCTTTCTTTATAAAATGTAATGTTAATAAACGTTTCATTTCTAATAACTAAATTATGACAACATCAAATACATTGTAGTATTAATGATATTTGTTGTCGTAAATGATACACATGAATGAGTATATTCAGCTTGATCTGTTTTTATAAATGTTGTTTGAACTTGAGAATTGAGATATGAATAACACAAAAACCATATTGATAAAAAGTCATTTGCTTAACTATCATTATTTTTTCAAGATATTGTTCAATCATCACCAGTAGGAATGATGTACAGGTTAAAAACTTGAATATTAGAAAACAATCAGAATTCTTTTGGCGAAATAAGAAAAAAAAACAGAAAAGGCATGTTTTTTTTTGCAAACAAACGGGTATTATGCTAATATGCTGGCATCCAATGGTTGTGTGAATTTGACTATAAATCACGAGATACAACAATACCTACACCTTAGTAAACGATTGTTTTCGAATAGGGTGTGCGGTGTCAATCTCGTTGAAATAAATAACATGACTCAGACCCACACATTGAGCCTGTAATCACGTTAACACATCTTAATACGCTACTCTGCCTAACTATTAAAGTTATAGCTGGCAACCACCAGCAATTGACTAAAGGCTTCGATGTCCTGGCCTGATTTACTATGGACTATTTTTTTAAAAGAGTTGTTTTCTCAAAACCCCTTATCTTTACCAGAAAAATCAAACTCAAAATTTCAAAAAAGCTGACATTAGATCCAGATTCCTTGATCCAGATTGCCGTTCATCAAAATTTATCAATTACAATACTACACAGAGACACATCAGTGGACATGTTCATGTGAGAACACAACGGCAGCCACAAACTTATTTTATTTCATATGATCCTCTCTTCATTCGAGGGAAGAAGCGTTTTTTCAATTTGTTTTCAATATTTTTTCATTTGAAATTGATTTTTTTGCCGCCGTAATTCGATGAGTGAGTAGATGAGTATCTTTTTAACTTAGACACCAACGAAGGAAACGCATTTAAAGTATTTTTCATGAACAGACAGTGACGAAAAAAAGAGCAAAAAATACTTACTAAAATTTATTATGACTTGGTGGTTTATGGAGTAAATAATGTTCTTCTATAACCTATAGTCAGTTATATTAGAAGCCTGTATTGTAACAACTATCGAGAATGGTAGGATCAAAAGCTTAGCAAGTATGTTTTTACAGAAATTGTCGTTTCCTATCACGAATTTGTTCAAATTAACAAACATCTGAACACTGGCAACCGCTTCGCTCATGACAGAAGCAGCGTTGCATGGAATCGACATAGGATGCTATTTATTTTCTTGGCAAAGCAGGCGCTGTTTAACAAAAACGATAGTTGATGTCAGTAGCTTTCATCTACTGTTTGGGTAATAATTTCGAAAACATACCAGAGTTTACATCAAATTTCTGCGAATCGAGTGAAATTTTCTGAGTTTGTAGGACTTGCAAATACAAGCATAGCTTTGGATGAAAAAAGTTTTAAAAACCTTGCAAAGTAATCTCAATATGAGGTACAAAATAGTCTTTCAGCTAAAACCTGATTTCTAGAATTTCTCCATTTTAAATGATAGAAAGCTGACAGTTTTGGAGTAGATACTATTTGATGAGTCGATCATTTCATTAAGCGGGAACTTTTTCCTTCGACGTTTTCTTTGCATGAAACCGTTCTACACAAAAAATGAAGATTTTGAGGTTTTTGGAAGCTGAATTTCTTTCAAGAGAAACAAGATTTAATTATTGATTTTATATGTATTAGAATAGTCTTTGAACATGATTTTCCATTTTCTTTAAATTGAAGGGCTGTTTTGTTAGAAAATTAAAGACTCCCACCAGGAAAAACTTTATACTTGAGATTTGCTTGACATAGGCTATAACAAAAACTTATTCACTTTCTTGGCCAAGAAATTTGATAATTCTGAAAAATTCCTGTAGAAAATAGTTGAAATATCATTTTTCGGTAAGATCGGTTGGCGCATAATATGAATATGTATTGCTCTCTTTACTGGTATCTTTAGATTTCTCATAAAACAATCCTAAAATTTTGGGAAAAAGTGAAAACTCCGCCCGCCCCTCAGCCCACTATCTTAAATCAATAGTACTTTCAGGGTGTGGGTGTAGCTAAGAAAAGAGGCACACCCATACCCGATATTTTTGTCCGACATTATCAGATACTACGTAATGGTCTACCAAAATGGTTAGAATCAAAGGAATATGTATGTAAAATGAATATAATAAAAAATAAAACTATTGGATATAATAGTGATCTTGTACAAGTAAATATGTTGATCTTTCATGGATTTTTAATTAGAAATTTTATTTTTAATATTAAATTTTGTCTAAAAAAATCTATTGTAGTAATAATGCAAATTTGAAAAAAACAAAGATGTTATAAAGTACTTTTATCAAAAAACTCAGATTCTCATTTTTCCCATTAATGCATGCAAATATTTTCTTTTCAATAGGATGGTAGTATAATCAATGATGGTTACGCTGACGAAGAAATACGTTTTGCTATTTGTTCTGAAATGATTATTAGTTTACTTCAATATGATGCAATTTAATCAAATTAATGTGCTTTTTTCTTAAAAGATTAAAAACATATTTCTAAGAACTTTCTACCACTTATTTTATTGTGATTTTCATAAAACAATAGTATCAGAGATTTCTAATATATTTGTTTTTCTCTTTATTTGAAATTCATATGTTTGCAGCCTTACAAGGACAAGTCGACGACTAACCATACGCCGACCTTGGTGATCAGATGTATAATTTTGAGTATATCACAATCAGTCAAGATATGAAAATCAAAGTTGTTCGTAAACAAGGCTTCATATAGATACCTTGCAAACGTATTAATTATGGACGGTTCACATCTATCATCAGAGACGTGTTCTATATATACTGGAAATGAATGATACAAAAAACGAGAATGTGCGCATTCATCTTTTCTCAACTGCACTCGTACTATGAACACGATCAAGTGAAAATATGATGTATTTGCATTGATTTATCATCACATTTTTTGTTAATGAACATTATCTTTTCTTATGAAAGGAAAAATTTGTTCTCTATTTAAGTGACCATTGTAAGATTTGAGCATAAAAATTTCAATGTCAGATGACTACACTCTCGTTTGTTAGGTGTTTGAAATGAATTGATTTCATTTATACGTTATAAGATATTCACCATAGGCACCAGCATCATGATAAACCACAAAAATATGTTTGCCATCTGTAGTTGTATCAAAACCTTCAGGTGGTACTTTCATCGATGATTTACCGACACATGTCTTACCAATCAAAACACGAGCTAAGAACATAGTTCGTTCTTTTGAACTATTTGGTTTTGCATACTTGTGGCTATATATCGCATGTTCGTGAAAATACACACCTTTGCCATAGTAAACTCCTACGAGGAATATTCTTACTGATTCTACCAATATACAATGAAAAGTTAATCTTTACCATTAACACCAGCAAATGCTCGATTAAAGCATTCTTGTACAATTTTATCAGCTGATATACTATTACAGCCATGAAAAAGAAGCCGTTCATCAGGTTGTGTATAGCGCTGTATAAAATCATCTCGATGGGCCGCATACTATAAATTTGATTAATAAAACAAGTTTGAGTTGAATTTGATAAAAACAACGAAATTACCTGTTTGTACCAACGTTCATTCTGAATACGTTCAATTTTGATGATTTCTGAATAATTATTTTTCATTGTCGAATTAAATTGATTCAAAACATCTATATATTCTTTAGAAGATTCCAAAAGAACTAATCGATTAAAATTAGCGTCGGACAAATCCCAATACTAAATATAACAAAGATTCAATAGAATATTAAAAGAAAAGTTTTCTTTTTTTTTCACATTTGGTAATGCTAAGTCTATGCGTCTACGTTTGACTGTTCGTTTTCGTGTTTGATATTCTTCTTGCATAGATGAAAAGATTATTTGACATCGCTCCGATTTTTCATTATCAAACTCAATCTAAACCATTCGAAATATGTATGGTTAAGTACATAATAAAATTATTTCATACATGTGAAAGTTTTTTTACATGAGCACTCTCAATCATTCTATGTACTCTATATGAATATGGTTTCCATTTACCGGATGATGTTTCAACAGACCAGATATAGCCATGTGAGAAAACTGGAATATAAGCATTGCGTAATATTTCAGCAGTTAGTTGAAAAAAATATTTTTCAACTTCATTGACCTAAATTAAAAACACAAGGTAATTAATCGTTATAAAAAAAAAACTTTGTAAACAATAATGAGACTTTTGGCCTCAGTGAAGTATTCAATTAACATTGATAAGAACAATTAGAACAGAATGATGATTCTAAAGATTGATATCGAATCTATTAATATTGATTATAGGGCTTAAGATAAAATTTATTTTTTAAACTATTTTCTTAAATCGATATGATCAGTGTTTGTAATATTTCCTAATTAAGTAGTATGGTACAATCTTGAGCAACTAATTTTTCACTTTAGATATTCAAATGAATTCTTTCTGAAAAGATTTCCAATGAATCAGTGTTTTATCTAGGTTTTTCACTCCGAGGGGGCAAACTCAGCTGTCGGGAGGGCAGGCAATAAATTTCTTAAGGAATGAACTATCAAGAGTGTTTTCGAGTCTATTATACTGACGCTTGCAAAAGACAACGATACGCAAAATATTAATTCGAATTTGATTGAAATTAAGGACGAAGGATGGTCATTTTATATTGTGAAAAATGAGTTTGTTTTGTCTTGGTACAGTTAGGTGACCACGAGAAGTGTTGCCTCGCAGTAATAGATCCATAATTCGGCTAATGATCATTGTACAGAACTGATTTTTAGTTTTTCTTTAATTGAATGAACACTTCTGCGTCGATTTGTATGTGTTCGATTACAAAATAATCAATCTTTGGTCATAAGAGGTGCGAGAATACGAGCAGGGTTGATTTTTTTTCAATTTTCCTGGTATTTTCAATTATGCCACTGAGACTATTTTCTGTTCCTAATCCTTCCATTACTACGCCAAACAGAATGACGTCTGAAGTAGAACAAGATTTTATGGACACGATTGCGAAAAATATAAAAGTGAACTATGTCGAGAGGAGCACAAATAGACCTACCTCGACGAGACGGAATCTATGGTTTATGATTTAGCCACAACTAAGGAAATTTTTGTGCATAAAGTCTTGTTCTACTTCGAAAGATATTCTGTTTGAAGTAGAAATGGAAAAACTATGAGCTAAGAATACCCCCAGTGGCATAATTAGGAACATCAGGAAAATTGAAAAAGAACTCGACTCCGCTCGTATTTTCCCTTCTCTTATGAAACAAAGATTGATTACTTTATGATCAAGTACATACAGATCGACACAAATGTTCACTTCATTCAAAAAAAACTAAGGATCAGCTTTGAAAGATGATCAATAACCGAGTTACAGATTGATTACTGCGAGGTAAAATTGTTCGCGTCAGAATTAGGTCACGCGACTCTGACACTATATTTGTTGAAATTATTCCAAAAATGTCGCATCAAAAATATTTTTAGGAAAATTTTATTGATATTATTTTTTTTAAGTTTCATTTTTCTCGGGGGGCCAAACTCGGTCTCTGGAGGGGGGGACAAAATGTCCCATGCCCCCCCCCCCCACTGGATAAAACACTGAGCTAATCCATAGGTAACTATTAATTCTTAACAAATAAAATTACTCTTTTATTTAGACTTTATCTTCCATCTTATTTAAATGCAAGTAAAAATTTACAAATAACTAAATTATTCTTATTTACATTTTATCCAACCACTGATCCAAACGTAAGTATAAATTTATAAAAAATAATTGTTTTTTGTAATTTAGATTTGATCCAATAGGTAATTCAATGATAAGTATAAATTTTTAGCAAACAAAATTATTATTTTTTATTTAGATTTCATCCAATAGTTCATTGAAAGGTAAGTCAAAATTTGTAAATAAATACATTATTTTCTTTTATTCTTTCGAATTAGTCCAACAACTGAGTCAAATGTAAATATAAATTTATTAGATGAATCAGATCTGTCATACTGACGGAGTGAGAAAAGGAATGAGGGATGCTGATAAAGAATTGTCGTTTGACCGTAGTTACCGCCGGTTAACCGCAGTAAACCGAACGGTTAACCTCCCAGTTGACCGAACGGTTAAGCGCGGTTAACCGGCGGTTTTTGACCGGTTCGAACGACATGGGATATAACGAGAATAGCTTAATTTATGACGCGGAAGTCTTGGTACAAAATATTCACTTATTTTTCGGCCTAAAATACAGCTGATTAGAGTCAGAAGTAGTTAGTTAGAATTAGACTTTTTTTCTCTTTCTGAATATTTGTTCAGATTTTTCTTCTGGGGTAAGATCGAACAGCTATCAATAAATTTTGAGAAAAGGTCCAAAATTGTATTTGTGCATTGTAAAATAACGGTTTTGGCACAATCTCTTGTTCACACAGTTTGCGTCATGGAACAAAATCAACTTATCACTATTGTAGAGCACTAAATTCTGTACAAAATGAGATATGACAATAAGCAAAATTTTGTAAGACTCAAAATCTATACGTTTCTACTATAAAGCTAATTTCTTTGAAAATCGACATTAGTGGCGAAAAAAAGCACTGTTTTAAAATAGTATTCTGTACAACCATTACTTTGGACCTTTTTGAAATAATCCGATGATAGCTGTCCAATCTTATCTCAGCAGGAAATGCTGAACACATACTAGGACAGCAAAAAATTTAGACTCTACCTCACTCTTTCTGTCTCAAATCAATGGTGTTTTTTAGTGGCCGAAAATTGAATGAATATTTTGTACCAGAACTTTTGCTCCACAGGTTATACACTTGTATTTCATTTTTTTTAATACTTTAACTCCTATCAATTTACTTCGAATCTGTTAAAAATTTTAGTATGAAAAAAATATTTGTAATATAGAACTCAATTTGATCAAAATTTATTGCGTTTACAGAATAGATATGCTGTTAATTTTTATTATTTCAAAAGCCTTCACAGTAAAATCAATGATAATAATTAAATTGTAGTAAGATCATATATAAAAAACAATAAAGCATACGAATGTACAAGAAAATTTGACTAAATCAATCAAGTAAAGATGCATCAACAATAATAAGCTACTAAGATGTGAGTGCTGCTATGTGATTTGATTGAATTAGATTCTTGTGAAAATAAATTAGTAAAGAACTATGGTAGATATCAAAACATACAAGATCTCTCATAAAAATTGACAATAAATTGTCAACAATAGCGATTTCTTTTTGCAAGATAAGATTAATGTTTACTAATTGCACATATATTTATACTTATTGTTTTCTTCAATTGTTAGAATTTTATTACTTTTACTAAAGAGTTTTTAATAACTCTGAACCCCATTTTTATTGTTTTTTTGTATTTTGACCGTGTTTGAAGATCGATAGATATTCAGTATATTTATTTCAAGAGTAATATATAATCTATCATCTAAGAAAAATTGGACTCAATCTGTTTAAATTCAAAGAAAATACTAAATTAGTATAAATATTTTTGAAAAAATTAATCAAAGTTATTTTTACTTGATGGAACGCAACGGAATTTCTTGTTGTTTTTCGTCTTTGCTGAGTCGTATGTTGATGAAGACAAAAGCAAATACCTTGAAATATTCATTATAGAAGTGTCCCAGCTAGGTCTATCATCCATGAAAACGTTATTCGTTTTGATACAGACAAAGCAGAGTTATTCTCGAAAAAAGTTAATCACTACGGAATCTCAGAAAACTCAAATTACATAACGGCTACTACTTTGAGAAAAACTCTTCTTTGTTTGTATCACAACGAATGAAATTTTCACGAGTAGTAGATCTAGCGACGACCTATCTATAAGGAAAACTCTAGGGTATTTGATTTCGTCGTTAGAGCAATATGGTTCACCGAAGACGAACAAAATGAAATTCCGTAACGTTCGTCCACGTCGTAAAAATAACTTTGATCAAATGCTTTCAATAATTTTATCAATGTAGCATTTTCTTTTAGTTGATATGAATTGAACCCGATTTCTGTTGAATGATAACTTATGTGCTATTCTTCAAATACGGTCAAAATATTAAAAGAATGGCGTCGAAACTTATGAAATACCCTTTATAAGTAATTCTATTTTAAGTGAACAAGTTCGAGTAAAATGAAAGAATATTTAGTAATTTATGAAAATTTTTACTACTTAATTAGTGATGTTTTAAGACGTTTGTCAGGATCAAAATTTTGCAAGTCAATGTCTTTTGAAAACAATACAGTTCAAATAAAATCTATGCCTTTATAAAAAAATGTTAGTCAGAAAAGAATGACAGCTAATAATAAACTACGTTCGACAGTTGATAATGTCTGAGCAGACAAACATTTCATTTTTCCATGATTATTGATTGCATGTCAAACACAAAAAAGAAAAAGAAGTCTCATACTTATTTAACATTATGAAAAATCAATAATACGGAATTCTATTTTTATCGAAAATCAACTAAAACATTGTTTTTTATTCATTTCAAAACAAAAAAGAAAAAAATGAGTCTATTTTAATTACGATCTTCAGTAACGATCTGGTCTTATGAAAGAATTCTTTCAACTGATTAATCATTTTTGAGTTGAAACTGTGTGCATCGTGTAGACCATAATGAGTTATAAATATCATGAAAGGCATACAAGCAGTTAGTTTATTGCTGTATAGAGATTTCATTTTTATCGTATTTTTAAGTTAAGGTCGTAGTCTCTCTCAAGAGCATAGTTTATTGTGAAATTTTCAGATGTTCTCATTGTTTCTATTCTAAGATACGGTTATGATAAAAGCATGTAGTTGTCCATCACTCATGTATATCATTAGATTCGATATTCTTATTTCAGGATGGGGCCAAATCACAAGACATGAAACTTTTACAATAAATTATTCGCGTTAAGGATTGTCTCTATGTAAAGTTTCAAGTCGAAATTCAAAACTCAGTTTTTCCTGTTATTCCCGAAGGGAACTGTGTTATTAACTTTAAAAAAAGTGCCTTTAAAATGCTATATCTACACAGGAAAAAGCTAAAGACCTGCACTTTTGCCATGAAATTCATAACTCAATAGGATCTATCGGTTGAGTCAAAATGGTCGTAATATCTGATGTTTTGCAAATATTTCAATGCAAAAAGACAATTCTATAACGTTGACTTTTTCGTTGCAAGAATGGCAATGAAAAATTCTATTGAATTGTTTTAATGATCTTCTTCTAAGGCTAAAACTGAAGCACTGTCAGATGATCAAATTTTCCATTATTTTGAAAGAAACAAAAATGAAATAATAATGATTCTTTTGGATATATATGTTATCACAAACAAATCATGAAACCTTAAATTATTTTTTTAAACGTGCGTTGTAGAATTTTCTAATATTTTTGCATGAAAAAAATCCTTTCTATTATGCAGATGGACTTTTTAAGCGATAAAAGACAAAGACCTTCGTGATGTCATTATTGTCCATCATAATAGTGGAGAAACAAAAGCTTCAGAAACCTCAAGTATCATAGCTGAAAATCAGTGGCCTCCTAATGCACTAGACTTGAGTCTACTATATTACTGCATATGGTATCATATCAAAAAGAACATTGATTATCAAAAGGTCGCAACATGAGAAGATTTGAAAAAAACAAATATATAAAAGATGCCAAAGAATTCACTTAAGTTATGTTCGTAAAGTGATTGGCTCTATCCTTGCAAGAGTTCGTGCGCAGTTGAACAACATAATCGCGATCATATTTTCCATGAACATTCATGATTTTTTGTTTTATTCTACTTAAGCCTTTATAATATCATGCAAAAATTTGTTGAAATAAAAAGAAATGTTTTTTTTTTATTTTTGTTTCTCTCAAAATAATGAAACATTTGTCCATCACACGGGGCTTCAGTTTTAGCTTTATAAAAAAATCATTAAAATAATTCAACGGAATTTTTTATTGTCATTCTACTAGAGAATTTGATGGCACATCTTTTACAAAATAAAATTTAACTTTCTAGGATTTGCCTGTGTTGAGATAGTTGCAAAATACCCGATGTTACAATTATTTTGACTGACCTGATATATAATGTCCATAGTCTCGACTCGTAATTGAGGAAATTTCCTCATTAACACTACAAGTACAGTGCAGTTAGAGATTTATTAAATCAATATAAATTGAGAATTAGAAATTAATTGATAAAAAAACAAGATATATAAAAAGCTGATATC